TGCTGCCTGGGGCTTCAGCATTTGTGAGAGGAACCCAACAGGGCATGTGTTCTGTAAGATATTTCCTTTGGAGATCCCCAGTTCAATATGGCCTATACCACTGATGAGGAAAAACATGCTTGTGTTCTTGCCTGGATTAAATGAACTGAATAGTTTCTGTATAGCTCAAGCAGATGATTGTTTGGACCACAGTACTTGCTAGTGAAACTGGCTCCTTGGTTGGCAGGCAGAGTAAACACTAAGGACTGAGGCTGTGGTTGCAGTGCCTTTGATAGAGATCAGTGCACTATCAGTTCAGACACCATAGCTCATCTCAGACATGGGACGTGAAGTTCCCTTTCCCAGAGACATGTTAGTCAGTGCTCACTACACAGATATAAAGTCCCTTTCATGATTTTATGCTCACTGGAGGGTGGACTGGGATGATTGGAAGGCGGGAAGTCACATGATACCTTATTGAGCACAAAGCTGTTTAGCACAAAAATTAACACAGCCAAATTTTTGCAACAAATCACAACTAGCATAAAGGGTTTAGTGCGGATCAACACACTACACTGAGTGGCTCTGCTGTTTTCAGTCTGGCCCTGAGAGACAGACAAAACTGGATGTCTCGTGTTATCAGGATGTATCTTCTGAAACTTTTCCATGCCACATTCTTGCAGAGCAGGCTGAGACCATGGGGAGCACACACACACAAACTCCAGTGACCTATACTGGCCCTACAGGAGTCCTGGGTGCTTTTATTCTGTCTCTGTACACTGAGCAAGCAATTCATGCTCTCCCAGGAAGACAGGGTGAGAGAGCTGGAGCTGTTCATCCTGGAGAAGAGGTGGCTCTGGGGAGACCCTCTAGCACCTTCCAGTACCTAAAGGGGGCTTACAAGAAGGCTGGAGAGGGACTTTTTACAAGGACATGTAGTTGTAGGACAAGGGGTAATGACTTCAAACTGTCAGAGAGGAGGTTTGGATTAGATATGAGGAAGAAATTGTTTACTGTGATGATGGTGAGGCACTGGAAAAGGTTTTCCAGAGAATCTGTGGATACCCTACCCCTGGAAGTGTTCAAGGCCAGATTGGACAGAGCTTTGAGCAACTCGATCCAGTGGAAGATGTCCCTGCCCATGGCAGGGAGGTTCAAACTAGATGGTCCTTAAGGCCTCTTCCAACCCAAACCATTTTATGATTCTACACATTAACAAAAGAGTAACTGACTCTTGATGTAGAGGAGGATGGAAAGCCACTGCCCTGGCAAGACAGTTTCCAATATCTTTCAGCAGGCATACGTAATTTTCAAAGAACAAGTACAGGACAAATTAGAGCATTTTTAGACCAGGCCAGTGGCTGATGATCTTTGGAGCTAAAGTGACAAACAAATGTGATAGTAACCCTGTGGCCTGCTCACTTGCTCTTTGTGCCAGAGGAATTTCTCAAATTTCTGAAAGGTCTTGCCTCTGTGAAGTAACAGTCTCACTGAGTAACTAGCACTGGTCATTTGCCATTGTCCCTGGAGCCACACAGAGTTGATGTAGTGAGAGATACATCACCCCTCTCTCCTTGTACAGGCACCATGGGCACACCGGGCTGCCTCTCTGGTGGAGGGGCGAGTGTTGTGCTGTGTTGCACCCCCAGCTATGCTTGCACCAAGGGCAGGCTAAGCCACCAGCCCAGTGAATGTCACCTCCTGCTCTCGGTGACACCTCACGCTGATCCTGAGCTGAAAGGGCCACACAGCTTCAGAGGTAGGAAATGGAAATGCTTTTTGACTTGGCCATAAACCCATTTTGTGTGAAATCAGGCTGCTGGCAGTGGGGCAACTTTCCACTTGTGGGCTTGTGAGCTCCACGCTTGCTGTCTGGACCTGTTTGACACGGGGCCAGTTCCTGCAGAGGAACAGGGGTTCCACCACCAGCACAGACCATGCCAGTCAAGAAAGAAGCCAAACATGTCTGTGAAATCCTACTTAAAGATGTGTAGCCTGGGTTTACTGGTGGGAATATTCAGTTTGAAGCACTGTCAGGTGGTTGATGGGGTGCCTTGATGAGGCAGTGTGAGAAGGGCATGCCTTCACAGAGCTGCAGGTTACTTCCAATTTTGAAATTCCTAACACAGCTCTTCACATGACCAGCCTCTTCTACAGTGTTTTGTTAGCTAAGTAAAATGTGATGTGTTCAAGGCTGAAAAAGAATATGAAACAGAACTTGTGCTTGAATTATTTTTAAACTTGATATGTTTATATCAGCATCTTAGTCACTACTATTTTTACTTCCACACACCTAGATTTAGAAGACCCTAACTTTGGGGAACAACAGACTAAAATCTCCAGAGAGTTGTGCTCCCATCTTTGTACAATAAACCTGTTGCACAAATGTGGGCACTTCTTGAACCACAAAAAAATTATTATCTTTCACATCACTCAAGCAAGGGATGTTCTAATGTGAGTCGAGATATAATACAAAAGAGTTATGTTCATGACAATTCAAATCCTGAAAAGTCAAATATTCAGGTCCTCAATATTGCAAGTACATTTGAAACATTCTTGTTTCCCAGGATAAAAGCTACATAATTAGGGCAAACCCTTGACACTTTGTCTTTGAACCCACTGGATTTATTTACCAAAAATCATTGCATTGGATGTGCCCAGCAAATGTCTTAGAGAACTACTTGTAACAAAATTAAAAGCTTAAACATAGAGATTCTCTCTCCACTAGGAACTAACTGGCATTTATTAAAACCAGGAGTTTCTCATACTTCATCCCTTGCATCCTCTTCAAATTCTCTGTTTGACATTTTGAACATGCCATGCAGGTTCTAATACACATTACACAAAAAGAGCTATTATAAAATTCCTGAGTTTTTCTTGTTTGCATGACAAAGGTGGAATGGCAAATCCTCCAACTGGACCAGATAATCACTCTCCTGTGAAAAGCCTGCAATCCATATCCTCTGTTTTCTTCTTAGTTGATCTTCTTAGCTTCAAGTGTGTTTGGTCAATAATTTTATTTTAGGTGTGAAGTCCATAAATCACCTTCCAATACACATTGGGCAGTGGAGAGTCCTCGTAGATTTAACATCCGCCACAGGAGAAATCTCATCCGGATACAGGAAAGCTGGGTGCTGCTGAAGCAATCAGAAATTTTCGTTTTATGTTATTGTGGCTCTTTCAAGAGCACTCACTGCACAGCAGGACCACTCTCTGGAGCAAAGACTAATTGGATGGATAAGTAAATATGGGATCATGTCTTCGTGGCATAAGAGAGAGACCATTACAAATCCACGACCTGCAGTTTTATCCAAGTGACACTAATCCTATGAATAAAAATTCACTGCTCGAACTGAGCTGGCCAGCACTTACAGAGTCTAATATAAGAAACTTTATCAGCCACCTTAAAATTGCTCAGTGGGGTTTCCAACCCAATCTTCTGGTTCAGTTCCTTGTGTGACTGCATTTGTCCCAGCCCCTGAGGATCAGCAATATCCCATTTAGCTGAGGAAGCAGTCCTGAGGGAGGGAACACGGAATATGGAGCCTTCCACAGGGGCTAAGGGGGTCACGAGGATTTCAAGGAAAAAAACCCTTCCCTCCTCTTATTTGCAAGAGCAGAAGTTTCATCTTGGGAATGAATGTGCATTGAATGAATATATAAATGAATGTATAAAATTCATCTTCAGAGAAAGATGCTACACAAAGGGCAAGATTAAAGAATGTACTGCCTTGAGCCATGCATAAGCTGTTAGTTTGTAGTCTGTTTCCATTTTTGCCTTAAAACTCAATTCAGCTAAATAAGGTACCCTTTTAACATCTAGCGGAGGCTTTATCATGTTTAAGGAGACAAGTTTCTTAAAAGGTTGTAAAGACAAAGTGAGCTGTAAGAGAAGTGTTTAGTGAGGCTCTTCCAGACGGCTTTATTGCCTTCCTCTGCTACAAAACAGGCTGCCTTGGCTGACACTTGTTTTAATGAGGGATGAACCACAACAGGGGTGCTTTTGTACAAGTTCATTGCGTTGAATCCTCCAACCAGACTTTCCTCAGGGCACACCATTGGATGAAATTGGACCAATTTTAAATCCTTTACAGAGGTATAAAATCCAAAGAAACTCTGATGCTGAGGACATTTGCACATGTGCTCAGGCATGTGACTGCTGGAGAGGATGAGAATTTCAAGTTCCATGCCCCTTCAGGCTTTTATCGATCACATTCTATTTTTTCTATTCACTTCTCTTGGGAATGGTGTCAAAAATACATTTCCACATCTTATGCCAGGAAAGACGGGGGAAGAAAATTATGTGAGCTTCAGGTTTAAAGGTTGACTTCATGGCAAACATCCAGCCTCCCCACACCAACCTCCAGGTCAGCTTCATTTTCTAGAGCCAGCACTCTATTGTGGATGTTAAGAGCATCAAAATACCAATATTCTTCACCCATCTTGCAAAAGAGTGAAGTGGTTTCTCATATTCACTGAAAGGTGATCTGCCTTTACATAAAGGCTGCCTTCTTTTTAGCACAAGTATTATTAAAACCCACAGGAATCCATAAAGAGTGATGGGACATTTTTCTAAAATGTCATGCCCATACATCTTTTAACTTCTGTGATTCAGAAGCAGCATAAAAGGACATAAATCATTTAACTGCTGTGACTCACTGCCCTGATTCATACACTTGATACAAATACTCAGAGATCAAAGTGGTACCTCTCTCCTCCCCCCCCGCCCAAGATTTAAATGATTTTTTAATGCTTGCCATAAAAATGGACTTCCAGCTAAAGATAAAGCTTCTTCCAATTGATATTGGCTATTTTAGGTAGTAAGTCTCCTGCAGTAAAAATTGACACTTCCTTTAAGAATCATTTGGTGCAGTACATAAAGCAATGTATTGCTTTATGCAGATGTGTTTCCATCCCTAGGATGAACAGAGGACACTGATAGCTTAGGGGGGTTCTAGGCAAACACTTATAGGGAATTAAAAAAGGATGAAAACTTCTCCCCTGTGAAGGAATCTGGGAGCCCCCCTATACCTTCTTGTATTAACTTTGCAGTGGATGAAGGTGTTAAACTGGCATGTGTCTACCAACAGGGGAGTGATCCTTTCAAGTCCTCTTCTTCGTCCCCACTTGTGAAATTTGTTGTGCCAGTGGGACGAGGCTGGCTATAAAACCCCAGTGCAGGGGATCTCTGTCCAGCTCAGGCAGCCTGCCAGCACATCTCTGCCGAGATCAGCCTCAAGGGGTTCCACTTCATCTCTGTCAGGCAGGCAGCTGCTTCGCTGATTGAGGAGGATGGACCTGAGGTGCACCTGGATGCTTTGCATGCTCTGCCTGGTCATCACGGTCCAAGCATTTACCCAAGAAGGGTTCAAGGAGGCTTTCCTGAAGCAGCTGGGGCTCTCTGAGATCCCTAAACTTCATAAGAGAGACTTGGCGGATCTGGTTATCCCAGACCACGTCAAGAACAAGTACATCTCCATGCTGAAGCGCCAGAGGGTGAAGCGCCGAGCTTTGCCTAGCCTGGCTGGCATCCTCAGGGGGATCCCTGGCAACGCAGGTAACGTTTCTGCTTTCGGGAGTGTCCGAAGTACTGTGCCGCTGGCAGGGGGGAGCTACCCACGCTCTCCTGGCCGGCCTCAGGATAGGCAGAGGCAAACCCATGGGGAGAGTGAGGTTTGGGTTTGGCTCCAAAGCTCAACTGGGTAGAAGCAATGCATGTAACAGCATCTTAAAGATCAAAAAGCACTATTAACTCCTTGCACCTAGAGAGGCAGTCCCACAGTCCTTGCAGAAGGCAGGCTGCTGCTGGAGCTTAATAGAAGAGAAAAGCCTTGGTACCCAGCAGCAGTCTGGGCAGGTGGAGAAAAAAAAAAAAAAAAAGACAGTAGAAACTGCAGACCTTGCAGGTTTGGGGTCAAATCTACAGCAAGTCCTATAACAGGAATCACACCTCTTCAGGGATGTTTTGCTCTCCCTCATTTATTTTTTAATTTTTTTTTTTTTTTTTTGGCTGGGAGAAATATGAAGGAGGCAATCAGCCATACAAACACTGTGATGTACAATGGTGGCTGTACAAGGACACTTACAGCTTATTTTGCTTTTAAAAGACATACGTAGCACCCTGGCAACAAATTAAAATACTTTTTTATTTCAGGTAGTGCAGTTTCCTGCTTTTATGCCCAGCATTGGCACAGAGATGCCCACCTTTTGGAGTCTGCTCAGTTTGGGGTCAAATTATGTAAGATATTTTGTTCCTCCAGGTTGCAGAAAGACAGGAGAAGAATTAGGGCATTTGCAAGACGTTGGATTCAAATTAGAATGCATTAGAAAAAGTATGCTTAGTGGCTGGCTCTGCCACAGGGCTCACTCAGTGTGGGAGCATGGAAGGGGTGGGTTGTGATAATAATTGTGTATGAAATGTGGGGGCTTTGCTCACCAGGATGGCAATGACAGGCCACCTCTTTTGTTCCCAACTTGCACAGGTGTGCCAGGAGAAGTCCTCTACTCAGACACCACCAGGCGCCAGAACCTGATCTTTGACATGGAAGGCAGAATACCTAAAAACAGTGAAGTCACAATGGCTGAACTAAAACTCTTCAAGAAGCCTCTAGACAGAACAAACCTTCCTGCCAGGCAGTCTCACAGGCCTGTCTCCAACGCCAGAGTCAGCGTGTACTGGGTTCAAAGGCAGCACGATGGTACCAACAGGACCTCCCTGATCGACTCCAGGTAAGAAAGGGACCTCTCCTGGAGGCAGGACTAGAAGTTATGGGCTACAGGTCCTCTGGGCTGGATTCAGGTATCATTTACTTGTGGTTCAGGTCAGTCCGATGGAGTTAAACCTGTAGAATCAGGCTCTGTAGCCTCTAAACCCAGAATGAGTTTATAAGAGAAAATATTATGCTAAGGCTGCAGTATATGATGATTCATTGCAATAATCTAGTTCTGTATCAAAGGATGCCATGTACTGCTAGGTGTTCTCCTCTAAAACCCTCCACCTTGTTCACTTCCCTCTTGCTCTCTAACTCATGTACATTACTGGCTGCTGGTATTCTTAACATTGGCCATTTCATTAGCTGGTCTAAATAAGTAAATTATGCAAAAAGCATCTGGTTTTGTAGCCTCAAGCTCTGTGGGAGTTTTACACTCCTTGAAGGCATTTTCTGAGTGGGTAGAGGCTTAAGTTCATAATGCAGCTAGGATAGGAGCAGTGGGAGATAGTGGTGTAGATTGTCATCACTAGTACTGAGGTTGCATGTAATCCTGCACCATCCTATTTCTGTTTGAGCACGAATGAATACCTTGACATGAGCATGCACAGAGGGTTTTATTTAGCCCTTCAGTGTCTCTTAGATCTATATGGTTCTTTTTGAGGTGTCAGTTAACTGCTGTGGGCGCTTGCCCAGAGCGCTCAGCAAAAATGATGGTGCAATCAAGGCATGTGACAGTCTACAGGAAGCAAATTATTCTGCTGCAATAATAGCTCTGCAAGCCCAGGCTTTGTCTGATGGGCTTTTCTCTAATGCCAAGCCCTTGTCATGCAGGCTGGTTCCTATTCGTGAGTCGGGCTGGAAGAACTTTGACGTGACACAGGCTGTGCATTACTGGCTGCGAAACCAGAGGAGGGAGCCAATGTTCCTGGAGGTCTGGATCGAAGGAGAGAGGGTGGGCAGCTATGCCTCGGAAATGGCCAAAGCTGTGCGTTTCACCTCTCAGGATCCCCAGGATAAAGCCCTAGGCAAACCTGAACTGGTGCTTTACACCCTCAACCTGGAAGACTATGAGTACGTATGAAGCCTGAATCTGTACTATCTCTGAAGTAACTTTGCCCCTGAATTATTTTGTGTGCCAACCCAGGGTGGGCAGCTCTTGCTCTCACAAGTGTTAATTAGAAAGTAGGAGTTAGAAAGTCGTTGCTGAATCATACCTCTTCTCTTGCCATATTTGTTGTCTGAATAGTCAAATGAACTCTGAGCTTGGGCCAAGTTTCCTGTCTCAGAGCCCATTTGTTCTATTAACAGGGGGGATTATTTCTCCCACTTCACCATCTCCAGTTACAGCATCAGTTCTTGTTTTTCTCTTGGCGTGCAGGGGCCCTGGGGACTGCAGGGAGGAGGCGATGCTGGGCAAGTCTACCTGCTGCCGGCAGGAACACTACGTCAGCTTCCATGAGCTCTCCTGGGCACGCTACTGGATCATCGAGCCGGTGGGCTACCAGGCTTACCGGTGCTCGGGGGGCTGCCTGCAGCCCCCCAGCCCTCTGTGGCACTTTGGGTACGGGGAACGCACCTGCGCCGTGGCAGAGAGCTCCTCACTGCCCATGATATACCTGGTCAAGAGGGGCAACCGCACCGAGATTGAGGCGGCCGAGTTTCCCAACATGATCGTCGAGAGGTGCAGCTGCGTCACGGATGGCATGGCGCTGGTGTGAGGAGTGGGTGGCCTGGGGTGTCACCCAGTCCCCCATTCCCTGCAGCCCTGCCAAGAGCCACACTGGCCCCCAGCCCTGGGGCCAATGATAAAGGTCCCAGGAGGGACACCTGCCTGCAGGGGTCAGCAGCAGATGAGGCTGGGGCTCCCCCCATGCCCTGATACCCCGCAGAGAGGGTGCACTTAAGGCACTGTCCATATAGATGGGCTCAGAGGACTATGCATCTTCACATATACCTGTGTAAGGGTATCTGTGGAGCCTAATGCTTCTCAGGGCCTCCTTGATGCTGGATAAATTTCACTGACTTGGGTGGAACTGTGTCCAAGTTATTTCAGTCTCCACCCTGGAGTATTGCAAACAGCTACAGGCAAAGGAACAGTGACCATCACCAGGTCAAAAAGTAATGCATGGGCTCAGCATTTCATTCTTGGACTCTTGGGTTTAGCCCTTGTCTGTCCAAGTCATGTTTATGGTGAATTGCAGAGCAGAAGCACTTACATGTATATAGTCTGCACACACACACACATGCACATACTATATAAATACATGTATGTATTGTCTACGTACTGGATATATACACATTGAGTAGATATATATGTGTACATATGTGTACATATATGTACATAAAATATTGTCTACAGCTCAAAGGGCATATATCTGTATGTGTTTGTATTGCATGCGTATATACCTATGTACAAGTACATAAAATATTATCTGGAACTCAAAGGTTTATATTTTTGGCACCTGCACTGTGGGCTTAGCAGAGTTTTAGGCAGAATTTAGAGCCCTGGAATCAACAGGAAAATTAGGACTTAGGTTTGTTCTCATGAGTAACTATTTTTCTAGTTCTGTATTACAGTTGCTTCAATTTAGGGATATTTTCCAAGTTTTGTGTACTTTCAAACTCAAGGAGACAATAAAATACAATTACTAAATTAGCCATGTGTTTGCTTATATTTATTCTTAGGTCTAAAAATGGAGGGAAAAAATCTCTCAGTACCTAACTCCTATAAACATAAATACAGTAACAACTTCTTCTCAGCTACCTGTGGGATACTGCCTGCTTCAAATAAAGCTTATCTACTCACACAGGGACTGGGACTGGTCTGAATCACCAGATGGAGCAGAGCCCACACAGCCAGCGCTTTTCCCTGAACTGCTGCAGAGTTTAAGTCAACACTTGCTTTAAGAGAAAATCTAGAATCTTATCTGACAGCAAGAGGTGATACCCTCCCCTTGAGCTGCAGCAGTGCCAGAACCTGCAGGCTCAGCTGGAGTTGTAGTGCAGAAAGAGATGAGCTGCCCCCTCCCTCTTCAGGAGTATGTTTTAACTCTGCCCCTTCCTCATGGACATCTGACCAACACATTCCCTGGAGAAACACAATGATAATGTGGTTTAATCCCTTTTTGAAATGTTTTGAACTGCTGACCAGGGGTGGGACCAATGATGATTTCCACTTTCATGTCAGACTCCTCAGTTCAAAACCTACTGAGATACCAGCAGTTCCGGGGATGAAGTGATCGCTGCTGTCCATCTCTGTGGGTCTGTGCAATGTGGCCCCTGAGGCTCTGGCTGAACCCACTGCTGACAGAAGGATGCCAAAATGAGTTTGTCTGGCTAGGCGGGATGGCCATGGACCAGGTGAAAAGAAGGATCTGTTGGACTCTGCAGTGGCTTTGTGTCATTCATCAGGAAGGTTGAGATGTGAAGTGTTCCTGCTGCCCTGCAGGACTCCAGGTCTGAAGTCATCCAGGCATCTTTGCTGTCACCTTGGCCTGTGGGTAGGCTGGCACCTCGAACTTGTGTAAACACCTGTGGCAAAAGGCTTTAAGGGCAGAAAAAAAGGCAGAAGCACAGACTCACCATTCACCAGCACTGGGCTATGGCACCATGGATTATTGGAATCAGAATTGGATGAGCCCTAATGATCTCTGGTCATTTCCGTCTCATGACTATGTAGCATCTATCTTTAATGGCATTGGCATTCGTCTCCACCCAGATTTGGGCAGGGTGTAGCCTGAAGGCCATGAGATCATCTGTCACCGGGAAGAACAAAGCCTATGATTTAGCCGCACTCTGCTCTTGGGAAAGAAAGTGTTTGAGCTGGTTGCTGCCCGAGGATGAAGAGCATTAACCCTGGCTCCCCTCCAACCTCCAGCGCTTCAATTTCAGACATCATTCATCCCTCAACCTGCGAGAAATCCCGGCCAGTGCAACTGAGGCCAGGCTGCTGTGGGAAGTGGGGAGCAGAGTATCACAGCAGGGATGGACAGTGGGGTGGACAAGGCTGCTCCCCTCTGCCAGAATCCGGTACTGTGTCCAGCTCCCCTTGCTTTGCATCTGGCTCCCTTTGCTCTGGTGTCATAAGGATACAAGGTCCATAAAAACAAACAGTGGGGGGAGAGGAGGAGCGGAGGGGGTGGCCAAGGAGACCTGGCTTTACCATGGGGGGAACTGTGGGTATTGCAGGGCAGAGACAGTGCAAATGTGTGAGCTATCAACTGCTGCCAGCCCTGCTGCCAACATGGATACTTATATTTATTACTAGGACAACCACACAGATGTCACAGCACCTCTGCTGGGGCTAGTTTTTAGCCCGCATTTAGATTGAAGCTACACACTTTTAGAGAAACAGGACACCACCCCTCTAAACTCTAGCTGGCTTTGCAGTGAGTATGTTGTTGGCTCAGAGGTCGGGTTGATGTGGGGAAGGCTCCAGAGATTTCTACAGTGCAGATTCCTGGGCAGAAGGCTGTGGATGAAATACTGCCACACCTGAGGCTTCTTCAGACACCAGCCCGTGCCGCAGGAAATTATCTCCCAGCCTGTCATTTCAATCCAGGCTGCATTTGTTGTGATACCTTCTGTGTGTTACTTGTATCGGTACAACTTGTAACACATATAAAGGCTGCCAAGCTGTCATGTTCTCGTTTCCGGCTGAGCAGCACCACAGTCTCCAAGGAAAGGCAGAACGTACCTTATGTACCTGGCAACACCATGGTTCAGCATTAACCTACTGCAGGGAAAAAAAAAAAAAAAAAAAAGGGAAAAGCAGTGCAGGGGCATAACGAACCACATATAACCAGAAACGATTACAGAAAATGTAAAGGTATTGTAAGGCAAAACCAGCATTAAAACACTGGGCATCCTCCTGCACTGCTGAAAGTGCACAGCCCTCTGGTGCTGCTCAAGGAGAAGGAGGTGTGTGCTCTTCATGTGAAGGACTCCCACAGCCCTGTTAGTCCTGCATTTAAAGTTGAGCTCATGTGAGTATTCACAGAGGCAGTGTGCCCGAGCTAAAGCTTTTCACAAGTGTGAGCTCTGGCCAGCCTTCGTGGAACTGCTCACAAGATGATCTGTGAAGGTCTGCAATAGTTAATGGAGCTGGACATGGGGTCAGGAGCTGGACCTGTTGGTCTCAGGAAAGCTTTCTTTAAGAGCAAGGCTTGGGCATGCTGGCAACACTTTCTCTCTCCATTATCTTTTATCTGTATCTGTTATCTCCATTTTAGGGGAGAGAACAAAAGTTTCAAGCCACATTAAATGTCACTGCTAGCAGGGCTACATTGCCCCGTCTGATCTTTCCACAGTTTCGTTTGAACCAAGGCTGCTTTCCTATTTTCTTTCAAAGTCTGTGAGAAGTTGCAGCTTTTCCCTGCTGGTGAGACTTTATTTCCTCTCCCCCTCTTGTTTTCTTCCCTTTGCATTTCACAGACTCCTACCAAGAGTGTCTGACACTTTGCCTTTCAGGCCAGCCTTCTAATTGCCTGTGGAAGTGGAAAGTCAGATGCCCAATCCACATCCTGGCAAAGGTGATAATCAGGGAGCTCCTCTGGCTTTGGCTGGAAACAGCTGGAGACTAGGAAAGGGGAACCCAGGAGAAACAGAAAGCCGGGGGGGGGGGGGGGGGGGGGGGGGGGGGGGGGGGGGGGGGGGGGTGGGAGAGAGAGGGGAGAAGGAAGGGGGAGGCTCTGGGTGGCAGAGATCCTGCAGGACTTTGATATTTTTAGAAGGCTTGCGCTCCTCTGTCCATTCCTGGAGCAGGTGCAGGAGAGCAGCAAGCACAATATCCATGCATTTCAGAATAAAACTGAATAAAAAGCTGATCATGGCTGCTGCCTCTGACCTGTGCTCTGGGGGTACACAGGCACTCCAGAGCTGTTGGGGTGCCAGGGTTTCCCACAGTTAAACCAGCAGGTGCAAAACTGCTCAGAAACACCATGGCAGGAGATAAGTTATCTGGAGATACTGGGCACTGAAAAGTTATGTCAACAGTCCACAGCTTTTGGCATACTTTTTTCATAATTATTAAATCAGCAGTTTGGAGGGTTTTTTTAAGCTATTCAGTAATCTCATTTTGAAGGTACTCCTAGTGTTTATTTGTGGGCTTTTTTCTGTTTACAATTTTCCTTCTAATTTTCTCAGTGATGACAAATCTGCCCCTTTGAAAGACCCAGGACCTGTATCCCCTTTGAAAGTCTGTTTTCGTTTGCTGAAAATGAATGCAATCAATTTGTAATCACTAATTCTCAGGGGACTGCCAACTTCCAGCCCAGTGGTCAGTAACCCTGCCACTCTTAGGTCTCAGCTAGTTGCTGTATGATAATATCACACAGGCCATAAGTTACCGTCTATAACCATCAGACACCCAATCATCCAGGTTGAAAAAGAACTCTGAGATTACTGAGTCTGTTAACCCAGCACTGCCAAGCCCACCACTAAACCGTGGCCCGAAGTGCCACATCTACATGGTTTTTGAGTAATTTCCAGGGATGATGACTCAACCACTTCCCTGGGCAGCCTGTCCACGTTGTATAGTATTTCCAGCAGATGTTTCACCAGCCAAACGGCTCCTTAAAGGCTGCTCTTCTTTGCATACAGCCCAGGCAGGTCTTTCAAGAGCTTCTTGCTCCTTTTTGTTCTCCAAGTTTTGTCCAAATTCCCTGTGCCTGGTTAGAGACACACAGCAAATGCAGAAGGGAGAAGCAGGACAAGGCAGCATGTGCATTCA